CTGAGGCTGGGGGGCCCGTGGCCGAGGGCTTCGCTCGAGGCGCGGGCCGATGGCGCAACGCCCATGGGCGACGGTGCATGGTTTGCAACCGAGATGCATTGGCTCGCGCGCCGCGCCTAATGATCTCGCGACCGCGTTCTCGGGCGCAGCGTTTGTTATGGGGCCGAACGCGCAGAGCTCAGCGCGCGCGGCTACGGGCGCGCGGGCCCCTGCTTCAAGCTTGCAGCTACATGTTGAAGGCGCGGATTGGATGCAGAAGGCTCGGGGGCTCTGGGCGCTCGGTTCCAGGCTCGGGGCACGAGGCGGGCCTTGGGCCCAGAGCTCTTCGACGAGGGCCCGACAATTCGGACATAGGTCTGTGGCTCAGGGATTGCGCCGCCAGTTTTCTGGCGCTGGGCGCCAGTCCTATGGCTTCGGGCTTCGGGCTCAAAGCACCAGGCCCATGGCTGAAATGGGTTGCGGCTCAGAGGTGGCCGCCCCATGCTCATGGCGCAGGGCTTGGGGCGCGGGGTTCGCGGCAACATTTGCGACTCTCGGACGGTGGGTTTGGTTTTAACTTGGGCCCTGGGCGCCCTCGGTCTCTTGCCCAGCGCGCGCTGCTCGAAGCTCAGGGCTTGGGCCCTGGGCCCTGGGCGCGGGCGCGCCCGCGCCCGTTTCGCTCATTCGAGCATGTGTGCGTTATTACTTCAACAGCGTTCGCGGCGCGCGTGCTACCCTGCTCGGCCGCTGACGCGCGCCCGCGCGCGCGCGCCGCCCCGCGCGCCTCAGGCGCTGGTGTCGGGCGGCGCGGCTAACGCCATGGGCGCGCTGGCGTGCGGCTGCGTTTGCGGGCCGAGTAACCGCTGCATTCAGTTGGATGCGCCGCCGCCCCAAGCGCTCGGGGCGCGCGGGCGGGGCCGACACCGCTGTGTACGCGCTGCCGTGGCCCGCCCTGGCAGACGCATGCAGGTCGCCACGTCGACTACGCGCGGCGCGCCGCGGCTCCGCGTGGCGCGCCAGCCCATCGAACGCGGAACGCCGACGTTTCGTGCGCTGGCCCATTCCATCAAAACCCAACCGCGGACCCATCGGAAACCCATCGGAAGGCCATCGTAAATCCATCAAAACGTCATCACAAAACGAACGAGTTTAAGGGTGGTTGATCAAAACGCCATCATAACGTCATCAAAACGTCATCATAAAGCCATCAAACGGGAGCGTAATGCCGTGCCGTGAAGGGCAGAGGCGCACTGGCTTGCCAATGCTGACAGGTATTTCGAGCCGCCTGCTCAGCGGGGGCAAGGGCAGCGTACTGCGAAAACGTATTATGTCATGTGCAGATATCGAAATTACAGCGCAGGCACCGCCAAACCATCAAAACACCACCAAAATCGATCATAAACCCATCAAAACGTCATCATAAACCCATCGTCATTCGGAGCGCGCGACCAAAACGTCATCATAAGGCCATCAAAGCGTCATCATAAATCCATCGAGAGGCCATCAAGGAGCCATGCGTTCTGGCATCGAGAATGCTTCGGGCGACCAAAACCTTATGGCGGTTTTACATTGCACGGCGCAGATCGATGCTCGGATTTTCGCAATCTACCCCCCCCCCCTCGAGCACCCCCCGATGCCTGAATTTTCGCAATCTACCCCCCCCCCTCTCCCCCCCCCCCCCCCCCCCCCCCCCCCCTCCCCCCCCCCCCCCCCCCCCCCCCCCCCCCCCCCCCCCCCCCCCCCCCCTCGCCTGGCCGCCCATTCGGCTGCGGCCCCGTCGGCGCTGTGCCAAGGACCGCGCCGCGTTGGCCCCATGCGGCTACGCACGTGGGAATGTACAGCGGGCGGCCGCCCCTTTCCTGCGCGTTCGCGCGCGCGCCATGCGAACCCGCCTGCCCAGCCGCCTTGGCGTCGGGGCGCCCCCGCCCCCCCACGCGCCGCGCTGCTGCGGGAGACCCTCGGCGCCCGCGCCGCGGGGGGGCAGCGGTGCGCGCGCCAGCGCCGCTCGATGCGGGCCTCCTGGGCAATGGCAGCGGGCCGCGCAGGCGCGCTGCGAGGGCCCGACGGGCTTCCCAGCGCGCCGCCGATCGGGGCGGCCCCGTGCGGGCAAGCGCGTTCGGGGCTGTCGTCGCTGGGCGGTCTGCATGGACCAGCGCGGGGCGGGGCTGCTCGCGGCGCCCGCGGGCGCCGCGATGCTGGCCCTGCGACGTCGCGCCCGCGGCCGACGGTCGGGCTGCAGAAGTTCGTGGATGTAACCAGCCCTCAGTCGCGCGCGCGAGCGCTGGAACTGCGATCTCGCGTGCACGGCGCGGGCGCATGAGCCGCGTGTTGCGCGCGATGTATCTCGCCGCAGAGCCGCCGCCGCTGTGGCGTGTTCGACGCGACGTGCCTGAGAATCGGTTTATCAGGTGGGACTCTCCTGTAGGGTGCGCCAGCGGAAGCGGCTGTTGCCGCGGCCATTCTGTTGGAAGAAGGCTGCGTGGGAGGGGTAGATGTCGGTCGGCTCGGCATGGCCAGGTGGTGGCTGACCAGTGTCGAGGTATGTGCGAGGCGGGGCTCGGGCATGGGATCGGCCCCCGCATCGGTGAAATTGCGGCGCCCCCCCCCCAATGGGAGAATCCTGGTGGGGGCAAGTCTGGCGGGGCCCGCCCCGAGGGGCATCCGCTGCGCGGGCTCGGGTCATGCAGCCGGCGCCGCGAGCATCGGCTAGCGCGCGGCGGCGCGCGGCTGGGGGCGCCCCATGCCAGCCGCAGCAATGTTTGCGCAGCGCGCCCCGAGCAGCGAACCTCGCAAGAGGCCGACGCGGTTGGCGGACGCTCGGGTTCGACGCCCGCGGCCTCCTGGAGCATCAGGTATTTTTCAAAATCATATAGGCCCCTCCCAGAAATAAATAAGCAATTCCCAGCAATTAGATAAGTCCATCCCGAAGTAGATCGGGCCCTCCCAGCAGTGAATAGCCCAGCCCTTCCCAGGGCAAACGCAGACAGGTCCCTACCACAGGCAGATAGGGCACTCCCAACAAGTAGATCGGCCCCATCACAGATAAGCGGCTCACAAAAGTAAATGGAACAATCGCAACAAGTAGGTCGGCCATTCCCAGAAGAATGCATGTCCTTCCGAGAAGTAGATAGGTACCTTCCGAACAGAAGATGGGCACTTGGCAAACGTAGATAGGTCCCTGAAGTAGGCAGGGCGCTCCCCAAAGGAGACAAACCCCCATCATGCGGACATTGGAACATCCCAGCAAGTATACAGGACCCTCCCATATGTAGATAGGGCAATCCCAAAATTATATCAGACCCACCACAACAACAACAACAACAAAAACCAACAAGTACATTGGGCCCTCCCAAAAGTAGAATGGCGCCTCCCGAATGCAGGTAAGTCCGTCCGAAGGTCGATCGGTCCATCGCAGAAGTAGATATGGCCATCCCAGCAAGTATACATGTTTTCCCAGAGGTAGGCAGGGCCCTCCCAAACGTAGATGTGCCCTTTGTTTCCGCGCGGGAGATCGCCCCCCCAGATTAGATGTGATCCTTGCGCAGGGCGGTAGGACCCTGCGAACAAGTAGATAGGTCCGTCTCCAAATGGGACGGGCATGTCACAAGAGTAGATAGGCCCATCCCAAATGAACATGCCCTTCCTAAAATGAGATAGGGCCCTCCCAGCAAGTATGGAGGCCATTCCAAAAAGTAGATAGGCCCCTCCCAAACAGAAAAAAAAAGGATTCTACAAGTGGAGATCTCCTTCCCCAGAGAAGTAGGTCCCTCTCAACAATAGATATGTCCATTACAAAATTAATTCGGTCCCTCCCGAAAGTGAATTGGCCACTCCGAGAGGTGGATATTAGGAATTTCCCAACAATTCGACAGGTCCGCCCCAAAAGTAGGCAGGTCTCCTCCAACTTAGCTGGGGAACTCTAAACAAATTAAAGCGTCCCTCCCGAAAGTGTTGGTACGACCCTCCCAGAGGTGGAAACTCCCAACAAGCAGATATGTCCCGCCCAAACGTAGGTCGGGGCCTCCCTACAAGTAGATAGGCTCCTGGAAAGGATGTGGGTTCCTCCAGAAAGTAGTTAGGACCTTCTCAGAAACCAAAAGTAGATGGGTCCCTCCCAAATATAATTAGGAACCTCCCAAGAAGTATAGGGCACGCCCACAAGCATATAGGACCCTCCCGACAAGCAGATATGGTTCCCCCAAGAGTAGATACGTCCCTCCCAACAAGTAGAGAGGTCAATCCTAACAAGTAGATAAGATCATCCTCAAATCAGATATGTTCCTCACACAGGTATATATATGACCAGAAGCCGTTCGGACCCCGCCAAAAGTAGATCGGACCCTCCCAACAAGTAGATCGGACCCTCCCAACAAGTAGATAGGTCCCTCCAACAAGTAGATAGGACCTCCCCAAGCAAGTAGGTAGGACCATCCCAAAAGTAGGTAGGACTCTCCCAACAGGCAGAACGGATCCTCTCAACAAGTCGATAAGACCCAGCCGACCGTAGATGGGAGCATCCCAGATGTAGATAGGACCCCCCGAACAAGTAGATTCCAGGATCATCCCTAAGGTAGGTAGGACCCGCCCGTACTTATGCAGGTTTTCCGATAGGGTCCTTCCATGGGGTCTTGTGATGCCCCCCCCATAGGGCCTCCGTGGGCCCATAAGGTAGGGGGGTTCGCCCATGGGCCAACGCGGTCTCGAAAGTGGTGCCGCCCGCTGCCTCGCGATGGTGTGCGGTGCTGTGCGGTGCGCGTCATCTCCGTCAGTGACCGTGCGGTGCCGTGTCGGATCCGCTTGGGTGCCGCATAGTGTCGGCGCGGTGGGATGCGGTTTCTTGTTTGGCCGAGGGCCCATTGCAGTGCCATGGTATCGTTGTCTGCAATTACCTACGAATTCCAACATGATATTCTTTGTCTTTACATCGATGTTTGGCTCCGATCAGTTCGGGGCTTGTGATTTCAGAGCCGGGGCCGCGAGTCGGCGACCCGAGTCTTCTCTTCTGCTGGAGAGCCGGAGGGATGGGCAAGCGGGCGAAGCCCGAACCCAGCGGCGCCAGCCAGCTTGCGGGTCGCGGCGGCGGCACTGTGGGCCGCGGTGGTGGCGCGGGGGGCCGTGGCACTAAGAAGTCCAAGATGAAGGCCGCCGCCGAGACGTCGAAGGAGTCCCAGGTCATAGGGCCGTTGATGATCAGGACCAAGAGCGTCGACCTCACTGGCCCCAAGGGTTCCTGCGGACGCTGTGGCTTCAAGGAGGACGCCGAGCATCCGTTCCCCGACGTCAAGTTCCCAGGTGAGGAGATCAAGAAGTTCCCCTTCGGCTGCTCATTCCACGTCCGTGGCTTTGTGAAGGGGAAGTTTTGGATGGATTACACTTGGCCTACTCTTTGCGGGGCTTGCGAGAATGACAGCGAGTTGGCCGACTCCTTCGAGGCGTGCTGCCAGGCCGCCGACGGAAAGCGTTTCTCGGCCACGTTGCCGCAGGACGTCACGATGGGCACGCAGACTGGCATCACGGTGTACTCGGACTGCGTCCTCATCACAGACGCCCAGTACCAGACCGACATCGCCCCTGCAGGGGCGCAGAGCTTAACGCCGCAGCAGGCAGGGGAACGTGCCACAGAAGTGCAGAACGAGCACAAGGGTGATGCGGTCACGGGGACGCTAGCCTTGGATCCGACGTCGCCTTATCTCAAGGTGCGCAGGTTCACCACCACCCTGAACACCCGCAGCGAGAAGGCTCTGTCGGCCGACGATTGCTGCCGTGAGGGCGCGGCTTCGTCATTGGAGGAGGCCGCCAACAAGCTCATGCGCGAGCAGATGCCCATTACCTTGAGGGGGAATGTTGGGATTCCGACGGTGGCCGAGCTCAAGGCCAGAGCCTTGGGTGCGGCGCGGGGCCTCGGGCTGCTTACCGATCCGACTCCTCCAGCAGCTCCGACGGGGAAGCTGGCCATCGCCGACGGCAGCGTCGACGACGGCGGCGGCGCGGCCGCGCTCCCTCCAGGCGACGTCGGCGCGTCGCAGGGTCCAGCGTCGCTTGGACCAAACACCGACGACACCAGGCCGCCCAGGTCCGCGTTCGACAATGCCATCCAAGTGCCTGATTCGGTTCCAGCTGGCGCTGCCCGTGGCTCCATGGGCGACGACGCGGGGCCGCTGCCGTCAGGTGCCAGCGACCACAGCCGCGGGGCCTCCTCGATGATGACAGGGGCGCCGCCGTCCGTCAAGAAGCCTGGCGCGGCAAACGACGCTTCGGAGAAGGCGAGGCTGAAGGAGCTCAAGGATTCGATCTCCTTGGGGCGCATCCTCACGAAGGGTAAGGACCATGGCATCGGTGATAAGATCTACGCGCTTCGGCGCTGGAAGCCTGATAGCGACGTCTTGGGCGGCGAGAAGGACAACTACCTCAGCGACATCGACTGGTGCACGACTCTGGGTGGGAAGGCCATCGAACAAATGGGGCAGGATACCCGCCTGCGGCTGCTCGGGAACATCAAGCACGTGGACCTCTCGGACGCGGTTCCTTTCAAGCAGCAGCTCTGCGCGGTTGCGGCCAAGGAGATGTTCGACGTTGGAGGCAAGGTCGAGATCTGCATTCCCTGGAAGCAGTGCGCGGTGGGAGGGGCCTCAACGTTAACGCCAACAACTGAATTCCCCAAGGTCCTTCACCTCCTCGCTCCCTCTCCTCCCCCTCTCCCCCTCCTCTCCCCTTCGCTTCCCCTTGATCCCCTGGTCAACCCCCCTCTCCGATGTTGTTGGCGTCGGCGCTGGGGCCCCTGAAGGGCGAGTTTTCGATGCTTCATCCTCGGTTCTCGGCTGCTGGGGTGCCTGACGCAGAACTCGTCGAGACGGGCAGGACGTTCTCCATCACCAATTTGGTTTTGCCGTACACCGAGCAGGATAAGATCCACAACTCGTGGATGATGGACCTGATCGATCAAATCCTTCCTCGTGTCAAGTCCGAGGCGGTTCGCGAGGGGGCTGGCGTGTGCAAAGACCTCGCGAAGGAGATCTACGTGCACGCCGAGCCCCTCCGCATCCTCATAGACCCCTCGCCCACAGCGCTGCTGGAGTGCGATATCAGGTCTGAAGTTCGCAAGTTCCTTCGTGAAGAAGCTGGGCCTGAGTGGCGCGTGGTCGTGACGACCTTCGGCTCGGAGTGGAAAGCGTGCCTTGAGGAGTACAACCGTTCCTCCCACACCGACGTGAAGTACGGCGAGAAGGTCTCCTCCGTGGAACGGGTGCTCGGGGACGCTATCAAGACCCTGGCCGTTCAGGACATTTCTTCGATCATCGCGAACCTGAAGGAGTGGGGCCCGTTGTTGCGCCTGGGTGATGCGAGAAACATCATGAACCATTTCCGCGACAAGCTGGAGGACTTCATCAAGAAGTCTGTGCTCGCGTCGGACATCGGACACCAGGCGGTGCCAGATATCGAGGAAGTGACAAAGTTGAACTTGGAGTTCCTCGATCTCCTGAGCCTCACCCCGAAGCTGCGTGCCATCTCTGAGGACACGGTCCAAGCATTCAACAAGATCTCTGCCGACCTGGAGATGTTCCAGGAAAAGGTGTACATCAAAGGCAAGAGCGACAAACTTGTGGAGGCTTGCGACGCCTACGATCCCAAGCGCGATGAGACAGTGCAGAAGATTGCCGTCGCTTTGACGGAATCTCAAGGCGCACACTTCGGCTCGGGCGAGGTCGTCGCCAAGCTCATCGGATGTGCTCGGACTTGCTTCAATCACGTTGTGCAGATGGGCCTCGACTTCACCGCAGAAGATGAGACAACTGATATCTGGGCCGAGGCCGCCGAGATGACGAAGGAGATGTTGGCAGCGGCAGTTGGCGCGGTCAATCGCATCGGGGAGTTCGACGCTGACGCGCGAGAGATCCACAGGCTGGTGGTCACCAAGATGATGCTGATCCAGCTGATGCTGTCCATCGGAGCCGTCACCGCCCGCAAGCCGTTCGCCGACTTGCTTTTGTTGTTTTTTTTTTTTTACTTTATTTTATTTTTTTTTTTTTTTTTTTTTTTTTTCTTTTCTTTTTTCTATTTTTTTTTTATTTTTTTTTTTTTTTTTTTTTATATTTTTTTTTTTTTTTTTTTTTTTTAATTTTTTATTTTGTTCATGTTCGCCGACTTGCACGTGGATCTTGCTGATGACGCGCAGGAGGTCCGCGGGAGAGACAGCCATCACGACATCGCATGCCCTTGGGGTCTGGGGGGCTGGGGGGATGGGGGCGCGGGTGGACGAGGGGAGTGCGGGATGCTGGAGTGAGGGGTGGAGGGCCCGAGGGGTCCTTGAATATTGATGGGGACATATGGTGGGATGGTGGGCGGTTTGATGTCACGATGGCTGTCTTACCTTGAAGGCTTGGCGCGCGCTCCGTTCGCATCTCGCCAAGTTCGTCGAGACCGCCGCCGAGCCGCCCCAGGATCCCGAGCAGCCGCAGGGAGAGGGGGCCTCGACAACACAGGGTGCGGATGGCTCGGACGGGGCCGACGGCAAGAAGACGCTCGAGGTTACGATACTGGCCGACTTCAAGGCTTTCGAGGCCCTCGCCAAAGTGGCAATCAAGACAGGCCGCGACTTGCTCAAGGAGTTCTCGACGGTGTACTGGGACCTGGTGGCGGACGCCACGGAGTACGCTGTGAAGGAGATGGATGCCTTGAGCGGCGGCATCATGAACGGCGGCGGCAAGAGCTGGACGGACGGCGCCTCCAGCTTGCAGAACTGGGAGGAGGTCCTGACCCAGATCAAGGCCACGCTCTTCAAGCAGAAGGGCTTGGCAACCAAGGCGCGCGCGCTGAAGGGCGACATGCTCAAGCAGCTTGGCGAGCTCAAGAAGACGGCCGACGAGCACGGCAAGATGAGCGAGTTCGGTGGCCTCGAGGCGTCGGCGCTCAAGGCCGCGGGCCGCGCGGAGGCCACGCTGTTCGAGGCGCGCTTCGTTCAGCTCGTCAAGGGCGGAGTCCACGCGAAGGACCACGAGGAGTGCTTGCTGGCTTTCAGGGATGAGCTGCACGACGCGAAGTACTTCAAGGAGAAGGACATCCACCCAGTGATCGCGGCCAAGCTGGAGGAGATGCTCACGCAGGCCTTCAACGACACGTTGTAGATGTGGAGGTTTGCGACGCTGGCGGTTTCGAGATCGGCCCGGGCACTTTCGGGGCTGTCGGCCCCAGGGTAGCTAGGAGGCACCGTGGTCAGGTGGCCTCGCGCGCCGCCGCCCCTTTCAAGCAGCAAGTTGCTGCATGTGGTAATGACAGGATTTATGAGGAAGGGGAGGTGGAGGAAGAGGGCGACGACGACGACGACGACGACGACGACGACGAGGACGACGACTACGACGACACGATGGGGGATGATATCACCAACTGCACTGCACGAGTGGCGGCGGCACGCTTCTCGGGAGGCGCTCCGCGGAGCGCGGACGAGGTGTGAGCGCTGTTTCTCTCAGGGCGGAGGTGGGCAACCTATCTCACCATGCCCTCATTGTCGTCCAACTTTCCCTCGTCGTCGTCCTCCTCCTCTGTACTTTCGGGGCAGATTGTCCCCTGCACCTCCCTCCCCTCTCCCACCCCACCCCCTCCCCCCCCCTTTTTCCTCTTTCCCTCTCCCCTTCCCCGTGCGCCGCCGGCTCCCCGCTCCTGACGCCCCCCCCTTGACACCATTATATTGGGCCGGCTGGCCAACGCGCACCTCAGGTGGGGACGGGGGGGTGGGGTGGGGGCGGGGGCGGGGGGCGTATGTGGGGGGGGCAGAGGTTGGGGGTGGTAGGGGGGGCGGCGGCGGGGGGGGGGGTTGTGGTGTTTTTTGTTGGTTTTTTTTGTTTTTTTTTTGTTCTTTTTTTATTTTTATGTTTTTTTTATTTTTTTCTTTTTTTTTTTTTATTTTTATTTTATTTTTTTTTTTATTTTTCTTTTTTTATTTTTGCTTTCATTTCTTATTTTTTTTTTTCTGTTTAGCCCCGCGATCCGCGCGAGGGGCGTGCCGAGTTTGGTGGTGTCTCAGGGGCCCCAGGGCTTCAAGGCCCAATGGCCCCCCAGAGCCTCGGGGCACCCCTTTGGGCTCAGCAGGGTGCTCTGGGCCCAAGGCTTTCCGCGCCGTTAGTCACGCAGGGCTTTCGCCCCCTCCGCCGAGGGCCCCAGTGAGGCCCAGAGATACCCCAGTCGGGCTCCAGGAGTGCCCCAAACAGTGCACCATCCCTACTTGGACATCGCACCATGGGTTCATTACAATCTGGCTATGTGGTGCATCATTCGGCGGTTTTTTGGGCCCACACCTTGCCTTGCTGTGGCTTATCTGGCCCTTTCGGGTTCTAGTTGGGGCCGCGTCTGGGGCCCGAAGGTTCACCGAAACGCGTTCCGAACGGCTGCCCACGGTAGCCTTCGAAGGGGCCTCCAACTGAATAGTTGCAACTGGTGTGGTCCGTGGGGGCACCTGCGGGCATTCCTTGGGGTCACCCCGCAGCGCCCCCTACCAACGGCCCGACTAAGGCGCCTATATGCCCCCAGACGTGCGCCTGTGGGCCCCAACTTACTCGAGCTGGGCCCCCGCGGGGCTCTCAGAAGTCCTAAGGCCTCGATGAGGCTCCGAACAAGGCTTGCCAGCGGTGGCATCCACGCGGCTCCCTTAGATGCAACCGCAAAAAGTGAGCGACCCACGCCCCGCAGACTCGGGTGGAAGGAGGCGGGTAGGAGGGGGGCCCGCCTGGCCGCCATGCTGAGCCAAGCGGCCTGGCAAGGCGGTCGGGTGGGATCGGCCTCGCCCGACCAGGCCTGCCTCCGAAACTCAGTCTCCTGCAGGCTCCAGCCCATGTCCTACGCTTTCGGCTCTTCCTCCCGCCAGACCCCGCGATCCGCGTGACGGGCGCGCCGAAATGGGCGGTGTTTCGGGGGCCGCAAGGTTCCAGGGCCTTGGGTTCCCCAGAGTCCCATGGGGTTCCCTCTGGGCTCAGGGTGCTCTAGGTTGCTAGGGCCCGTCTTGGCCTTGGTCACATGAGGCCATCGCTTCCTCCGCCGAAGGCCCCCCAACGTAGGGCTGTCGCCCAATCCGCCTTCGTCCCCGTGGGGCGCCGTAGCGCAGCGACACCGCGACATCGTGACACCGCGACATCCATGCAAGGCGTTGGCCCCCCGCATTCGCCCCCCCCACGCCGCCGCGGCGACGCGACGCCGCGACGCCATGGCGCGACGGCGCCCCGACACCGCGACAGCTGCGCAGGGTATCCACTTGGGCCCTCGGGTGCATCGTCGACGGATGCTATGGATTGTCGGCCGTGCATATCGCGCACGAGCAACGAAACAAGGGGGAGACAATTGAAACTCGCGAAATGACATCTCTCGGGTCGATGCCATCAACAAATTTCATTTTGGTTGTTTGCGACCCGACAAGAAAACGTTGGTTGATCAATAGTTTTCTTTCAGAAAATCGCGAAACGGCCGTCCATCAAAGATTTTCGACGTGGAAATCGCGAATTCTGCAGCCACCAAAGATCGACAACGGCTCCACCCATCAAAATCCATCAACCCGAGACCCCACTACAGGCCCGAATATAACTGTCAACCGAGCACCGCTAAAGAACGACCCCAAACGGAAACCAGCCCCAGGGAATAGTCCTAAACCTCTGGGGTCCACGTGATGGAAATCCACAAACGTACAGCGGAGACGCTGAAACAAAGACCGCTTTGGTTTCAGGAGGGGCCGTGGTTTTCGGGCCGCTCCTCAGTTCGTGGCCGAGACTCGCCAAGGCCAGAAGAGCCTGTTCGTTTCGAAATTGGCGTGCCTCACTCATGGCAGCGCGATGACTGTGAACCTTCGGAATTCCGCGCAGAGTTTCTTGGTTCGGCGTTGGGCCCCTGGCGGCGCCTCTGGGGCCGCCCCTGCCGGGCTCCGCGCGCAAGGGGGGAGAGTCCAGCGGGGACCTCCCCAAGTTCATTCCCCAAGCAATGCTTGCACTCAGGGGGTTCTTACTTCTCCTCTGAGCAAATGGGCTGGTGTGCCGCTCTGGCGGCTATGTTGTGACCGTCGCCGCCCTGTCGCCGCCTTGTCGCCGCCCGCCGCCTTGGCCGGTGTGCCGCTCTGGCGGCTATGTGGCCGCCGTCGCCGCCTCGTCGCCGCCCTAGATTTTCCATTCTACAAGGCAATTAGGATTTACCACCCTCCCCCCAGACTCCTCGGTCCACTCTGGGGATGTGCAATTTACACCTAATTCTGCCCCATCGCTCATTCTAAAAATGAGTTCATACCATCTCATCCAAATCGGTATCGCCCCCCTCGTCAAATTATACTATGCGCGCGCATTCGTTTACCGAAAGACATCCGTTAACAAGAATCCCAGGCAAAAACGGGACGATGTACGCGTCGTCACACACGCATGCCAGAACATTTCAAACAGATTTTTGTTTCAGGATTTCAATGTCGAGTGTTTCGAAACAGACGGTTTAAATGTATTGCAACATGATGTTTCGAACAAAAAGCATGCGCGCGTTTTTGCGACATCGGGTTAATCATCGGGCTGCGACAGCACAATTCTTGAGAAAACCATCGGGTGAATCATCAACCTGTTCACCAATTTCGACCAACCGGACTCGCGCGCGCGTATCGAAAGCGTTCTAACGCCCTTGCTCGTGTGCTGGGGAGGGACACGATTCCTTTTCAATAACACCATGCGGGCCACTTGCGTGCGTCGGCCGCGCGCGCATGTCGAAATACTTCACAAATCTGTATCGCCGACACGTGGACACCACCATCGTCATCGACGTGATCAGCATCGGTGCCGTCATTGGCCGTGCCACCGTCATCGTCATCGTCGTCACCCGCATCGCCACTATCATCATCGTGTCTGCCGTTGTCGACGTCGCCATGGTACCGCGCCCGCCCAAGTCACCGACTCGCATTGAAGTTCCCGCGCGGTAGTGCGGCCTGCGAGACGCACCGGGAAG